GATATAATAGAACTGAAAGACAAAACAGATTGTCTACAGTATGTGACCTGAATGATGTCGAGGATGAGTTCCATTTCATTTTAAAATATCCTTGCTATATTTATATAAGGTTGAAACTATTTAAGAAATATTATGTAAGACATACAAGCATGTATAAATTAATTCAACTACTTGTGAGAATGTATCCGACATTCGAAATTTTGGCAAATTTTTAATACAAGCAAACAAAAGGAGATCTGAGCTGATTGCTGGTTAGTGTTCACTCTCCACGGTGTGTGTGCGTGTGTATGGGTGTATGTGTGTGTATATCATATTGTATATTGTCTCTGTATTGTTTTGTATATATATGTTATAACTTTTTTAATTTTTATTATGGGCTGGTAACCGTGATAGCGGGAGGCAGTGATACAAATCGTTTGCGCTGTTGTGTTATTAAGTAACATCGACCGATAACCGTACGGGAGGAAGCGTTTTTATACAACCAAAGATATGCTCCTTGGGAAATGGAGCGTACTTCAGATCGTAAAGATATAAAGATAGCTGATGTATACAGGAATGCAATAAATCTGCGTTAAAAGTAGTTTGTAACATCTTGCTGAAGTAATCATAAATATATACATTTTATATATGAAATGTTGTTGTGGTATACTAAATCACATATGTCGAAACAGGCTGATCATGGTTACAGTTTAAAGTTTATAGCACTGGGTTATATAAAAATGGTTTCCTGTGTACTCATCTGTAATATTCACACCGAACATTAAAGGTGGCACGTTCTTTGAAATACTGTGGAATCGTGGGGCCCAGATTTCGGGGTTTCTCGAAAATACAAAATATCTTGGGTTTATATAAATTCGTGTATTACGAGTACCCAATTCTACAGATAATAGCTTGTTATTACTTTGTGAACGAAATTAAAAGCTCCACAAAAAAAACATGATTTCATAGTAGTTACTTTTACTGTTTCGATAGAATCCTATTCTCTAAGGATCGCAGCATATCTACTTTCATCACACAATAGACCTACAACCAGCATGCGACCTGCATTCTGACGGAAGAGTTTCCACGTCTCTTTGTCGACTGTTTCAGAGTCATTGGTAAGTATAACACACCTTTTTATTCATTGTATGTTTAATACCGTGATGCGTTAGGGTGTGTTATATAGTCCCCCGTTTTAATTACTTGTAGTAGTAACATGAGTAAATAAACACGTGGAGAAATATAGGTTTATTCTGCTATTGTTCCCTCGTTACAATAGTGCGGGGGGATACAGCGTCCTCTGTGTACGAATGTATTCGGTTCGTTGATGATTTTTTGTCATCATCGATCTAGCGACTTCATTACTTAATAGAGTGTAATCAAATTTTATACAATGTTCGACCTAATAGTGATATATATTTGTAAACATATTAATTAAAGAAAAGAAATGAAACTTACACAATTTATTGATTTATAAGTATCGATTAGTGATGCAACACACTTAATTGAAAACCTGAAATATAATACGATTGGATTAGTGTGTATTTTACGTCCACTTGACAGCTATGGTCATTTAAAGACGTGTCATGTTTTGGGAGTACCCGAGGAAAAAACCACTGACCTGTGACCAGTATTGCCAGCATGAAATATATACATGCTTTTAACAAAATGAGTCATTATGGATTTATTTTCTCTATAAAGAAATCGATATTCTGTATTGTTAGTATCAGTCATTTCTTTTATTCATTACGTATACAATGTCAATAATAAAAGTGTATCGGGGAGCTAATGATTTTTCTAAAGTGTGTTCCTTTTATGTCAAATAATGTAGTCACTAGTATAAGATAAAAACAAATCCCCCGGCTTTGCTATTGATAAAATATAGATTGATTTCATGATTATTATTTCATTGAGGTCAATACGGTACAATTTATTAAGCTTCTTACTTAAAGGGTACCTCTACATGAGTTATAATTGCAAAGAAGAGTTCCACTCAGCGACCTCGTTTTGAGTTTGAATGGTTGCCGGGGTCATCATTTTCTGTATATGATGAAACCAGTATTTGATGACTTGTGTATATCTATATACCACGTGCTCTCCAGTTAATTGATTTGAAATGTCGAATACAATGGTAATATTTTAGGTGTACCTATGGTTGTGGCAGAAAGCAGACACATTTTATCTTCATAAAGCACACTTAACTGTCATCATCTTACAACTTTGGAGTCAGAAGTGTTAAGCTATGCTTTTGTTTCAATACGTTGATATCAATAACGAGTATATATTTGTTTGTTAGACTTGTAGTTAGAGAGGTTTTCAGAGTGTAGTCAGACAATATGAGGAATGCTCCATGGGGAAGTACAATAGAAAAAAAAGTATAAGCAACCTGTATACCGGGCAATTTTCGCTCCAATTCAATTTTCGTCCTTTTCGCCCTTCGTAATGAGGGCGAATCTATCATTACAGCGAATAGAAGTAAACAGCATAACTAGCATCGTAATTAAAGGTGAAAGGCGAAATTAACATTTGCCAAAAAATTGTTTCATTGGCGAAGGCGAAAAATTGACTGGGCGTAAAAATTCGCGGAACAGTAGCCACATAGGAATTAAACAGAGAAGCTTCATGCATCTCGTGCATAGCATTTTTTTCAAGGAATGATGGCTCCTGTCAACTCAAGGAAAGTACGTTGGTCACCATCAATGTAAAAAGAACAATGAACCACATTCGCTTAAATTGTGAGAAACATTCAAAAGTTCACTCAGGCGAATTCCTGCATACACGAAAATAAAAGAATATATTCATTGTCATTAAGGTCAAACTCATTGAAACTTCCAACCACATTCACTAAACCTTTTAGTTACACTTATGTGTAATGATCCAATGTTTTTACAAACTTGCGTTAACAAAATATAAAAGAAAACGAAAAGTACTCTACAAAATTTTATTATCACAATTTGATGATTTTGATCAATGGGCACAGCAAATCTATACAGATATGTACTGTATAATCTATATAAGATTTTTACAGTTCATACAAAAAGAGAATCGTCCATGGTATCTATTCACAATCGTTGCAATATTTGCATATAATATGTTAACTATTTTGAACTATATGAAAGACATTTATTGACAACACACTTTTATCTACTTTGTCATAGGTGGTATACACTGTACAACCTAACTGCATGGAATTATCCCCCTTAACCCATAGACATATTCCACTATGGTCCCATAACCAAAGCGACCCCAGTTACGCTCTTCAAGTGCAAACAGTTTCAATTGGTATGCACTAGTATCCAATATCCAACCATTCACACATACCCGCATGCTATTACATATACAAGTGCATCATACCATATTACCTAACTTGTGCCACGTTTACAGAAATCGTTCGTATTTCACTTACCTTATATTGCATATATTGTCTTTGCCCGTCTAATTACAGCTAAGAAATGCCGGCCTACCCCCAATCAAAGTCAATACGAGTCTGACTAATTAGCCCACACTGTCAAACACCGGCGAACAAAAACAATATGAACGCACTTTGCTAATAATGATAGGAAATTAATTCATGGTGATGTTTTAACACAGACTGCTAGGTGAGAAGAGCGTGGTAACAACTGACCTTGGTAAACAACTCTATCAGTCTTACCAGTGATCTGTGTGACACATCAAATTTTCCAATCAACCCATCAGTTGAAGACTGAGTTCTATTCATAAACAATTACATTTAACATACATATCACAGGCTTAACAGAAATTGAGAAGCACAATCACCAAAATAAATTACACGAACATATGAAGCTACAGGTTTACGTTCATTTGGAGAGAAGGAACCTATGATGTCTTGCTAAGCAAGGACAGCAACAGTATACATGCATTACCGGGTATGTTGTCTCCTGATTAAGGACCTTGCGACAAAGTACAAAAATATCTACGATATTCACAAATAAAACGTTCGGAATATGCAGAAACAATAATAAGTTAGAATGCTTTTTTTTCCTAAGCTGTTCTCCTCCAACTCTCGCTCAAAGATCGTTATCATATCATGTAAGATATATCCGCCGAAGTTCACAAATGATTATTGATTTCGACAATAAACACACGTCTGTAAAAATTGTTTGAAGAACAGTGATGTTTGTTTCTACAAAATTGCGTATATGATAATTTCGCCTAGTTGTATGAGAAATATTCAAATGCTTTAAAAAATAAATAATGAATAATAATTCAAGGTTTAAATATTTAAATCTTTCGCGTACTCACCCGAGATATTCAGTGAAATGGTCTTTCTTTTATCGTTTTTTTTTTAAAATTTCAGTAGATGAAGGTGTGCTTGATGGTTGAGAATAAGAATTATAATTTAAATCAAATCAGCATTTGGTACCATCTACTAAGGGCGTCTGAATCCAAATTAAACTTTGGCCCCTGAAAAAAGGACTTGTGACGAATTTTAAGAACGCTGCAAAAATAAATCGCTAACTTTTTACCTTTCCTTGCCTTGCTGAAGATGAACAAATAATAGTTTATTTATAATGAAAATGCCAAAGCAATCTTTTTCCAATGGCTGGTATTTTTCTAATAGCGGGATTTTTTAAACAAGAACATTTTATGTTGCTGTTTAACTTATTTGTGTGCCATAACACGCAAATCGAGCATTTACCTAAAAAAATACGATCGATAAACTTTTCGTCTTTCAACGAATATGACAAAATAACGGGGTTGCCACTCTATTAACATTATTGGTTTAAGCACTTTAAAATAACCTTATCCTTGCAAATATCAGCAACGTAAAAACGGTTAATATGAGAAATATTTTTGTTCATTAAGAAATCAATAAATAAATGAATAAATTAATTAATTAATTTTTTTTTAAAAAAAAACAGTGCAAAGAGTTATTATTTCATTTTTCATTTTTTTAACTATATGCGAGCTATGCCTAAGGTTTAATAACCGAATACTTTCTTATTGAATTGTTATTCTCGGAAGATTTAAAATCGCGAATGTGCCTTCTCGGTAAAAAAAAAAAAACACCAAGGAAACTATATCTCGCCAAAACAAAGTGATTCGCAGTACAAGGTGAACTAAATTGACAAGTACACCATGCCAGTAGCAAACTGGACTGTTTGGGTTAACCCTAGAGGTTTCGCTACTTCTTACCATAGTGTTTGACATGCCAAGTAAGCACTTGTCAGCTGAAGATACATGACCCGTTATTGTTTACATGGGCCCTTTTAATCTCAATATCATATATAATGTCACGCAGTCGGTGTTACCCTTAGTTGTTTTTGCATAACTTATAGATACATTGCATCTGCAATACCCAAGAGTGTAAAGAACGTATTTCAAATAAGCATCTGGACTTCTATAGAACTTGCTCTACATATACAATGCACTACTTTACTTTTTGTAAGAATATATAGTTGGTACACGTTTTGTATCTCTAGTTTACTCACTGCCCGTCTACATTCGTCTTTGTACATAGGTAAATGTTGTCTTTGCATATCCATAGTCTTTACATGAGCTCTAGAAGGAATCGTCACACACACATTTACCAAACACAATGATGAGGTATACTACCAAGATAAACATTATGGTGCCCGCCAGATACGATATGTATGGATGGATGCATGCCACAACTGTCAGACATTCCACCTTCTTTTTAACTTTCGGAGCGATAACTCTCGACCTATACGCACGGCGACGTGACCTCCGGACTGTTATCCTCTTGCGATTAGTTGTAACTTCATTTGGTGGTTTTGAAGTACTTTCATTTGCTTGAATTGATTCAGTCAATGGCGCAATTGTTATTCGTTCGTTGTCATCATTCTGCCCAGAACTGTTTTGTTTATCAGTATAGGATATATTCTCTTGTGTATCGAATTGTGCGTGTTCTAAAGAAGTGCTATTACGTGGGTAAGAGGGCGATTCACGTTTGGTCCGTTCACATTTATCCTTCAGAAAGGTTCGATCGGTGGCATTCGATCGTGGAACACTGTTGTGCCTGCTGGACCCGAAGCGGTGGAGCTCGCGCAGCAGAAAGTTAAATAGCATACTCATTCTATCTAACACGGGTTGTCTTGTTCTCTTTGACCTTAGAGTGTTGTCTATAGACGGGAACAAGTATTGAGGAAACTTCTTGTTTCCTGCACTTTTTGAAATCTTGATAAACTGTTGTTCAAATTTTTGTACAACTTTCATATGCCCTTGCGTCCAATCGCCATTGCTTAAATCTCGCAGATGATTCCAGAATGACGCGTTTATTTTCTCCGGAATGTTGGATGGAATGGCTTCCATGTACTGTTTGTTCAGAACGGGTCGTGTCTGTCCTTGATCGCTCTTTGGTCTTCTCGCAGTAGCCGATGATGAGACGATAAATTCATATACTGAAACGATAAAAATAAACTTGAGATATTTTAATACAGGTCTTTCCTTGATGATTTATGAGGAAAACGTCAACTTAAAAACTTTTGCCTTTAAAACAACGTCAAAAGAGAGGGAAATGCCACTAGAACACATAGCTACTCATATTACTTTTCGAACTGGGGTATCTAGTACATATGGACCCCAAACATAAAGTAAAAAAATAATACCTAGCTGCAGTAACCATTGCAGGTCAGATCGATTTTTGTTTTTAAATTGTGCATTTGGGTCATTTTGTTTGTTTGTTTGATTTTGTTTAACGTCCAATTAACAGCAAAGGTCATTTAAGGACGGCCTCCCCTGTGTGCAAGATGCATGCGTGTAGTGTATGTGTGTGTATTTTGGGAGGCTGCGATATGTTCGTGTTGCCACATTATACTGACAACGGGCGAACCAGTCGTCCCACTCCTAATTTGCTGAGCGTTAAGCAGGAGTAGAAACTACCATTTTTAAAGACTTTGGTATGTCTCGGCCAGGGGACAGAACCCAAAGCCAAATGGCCAAAAGTGAGGCATTGTCAAGGAATACATTAGGAAGAAGAAAGTTATTTAGAAAGGAGAGAAAAGATAAGGTCCCAAATTTAGTCGCCTCTTACGATCATGCAATTGGGGACAGCAGGTACAATTCTTACGCCCTACCTGCAGGGTCGCATTTGGGTCATACAGCTACGGCATTCCTTGATAAAATATGCGGTTTTGAGTGTGGAAACATGAATTCATATATCTGATCTATTTGATCTGTCATTGTCTCCCCTCGGCCATAACCTATAAATTTACGTATTAACATACCTTTAAATACGGGGGTCAAAATCTGGAGCTGTCCATCTATATATAAGCCATACATTACATACACTCAGGCACACCGACAATCAGGCGGCCATTTTAATTTGTTTATTTGTGTAGGTACATGTTCATAACATACAGCTCGTTATTAATACGAGGAGGAAACTACTTTAAATACAAAATGGCTCAAGTAGTAAGACGTTGACTGGAAATATTCTATATGATATTTATTGCCGTGAATTAAGCTTCCAATGAATCAAGCAAATGAACATGCGTTTCAGTTAACATAAGGGTGTTACGAGCAGTTAGCATCATTCATGCCATGTGAGACAGTATTTGACTCACCTTTAGTACCGCAGATCAGAATACAATGAAAATTTTATAGATAGCAAAAAAGTATGCCAGTAGAAAATTAACTTACTACATTGTTTTATGGATCGAAATGTAACATGTTTAGACTAGCTTGTTTACGTTAACAATATAAAAACATATCAACCGATAGTTTCAATGGAATCTTTGATTTTTTGGTGTTTTTTTTTTTTAAATGTATTGAGACCTCATAATAAAATTTGGATATATAATAACGTAATACTTAAACGTGTATATAACAAGTGCTGCACTACTGATATCCGATTTTGTTAAGATGTTTGTGGCTCAATACATCCGCAAACCAATTGAATTAATTGAATCGTGGAATATAGCTATGACGTCATTGGCCTCCTATAATTGGTGTCCGTTGCAGACGGAACAAACGCATGTTTGATTTCGTTAATGATGGCCAAAATCGATTTCCGTACAATGCATTAGGTTTTCAACTATACGAGGAGACAAAAGGGGGAGAAATAAAACTTGATGATGACAGACTACTGTCTCATCGAGAACCTTGGCGTCCTTCTTACACGAAAAGCGGGGGCACTAAACACTACCTTAAGTCGGGTCTCGCCAGGGCACGCACAAAAGTCATTTGTAAATATAAAACCTTATTGTGAGGCACGGAGGATATTGCATTCTACTTCAACAAATTGAAGTTCAAATTTGATAGAAAATGGAATTTTGATGGCAGATGTTTATGTCTAACTCACGCATGTAGGTTAATTCTTGGAACTATTTGTAGGATTGTTTGTATCGTTGATGTCGTTGCTGATTAAATAAATTGGAATGCAATGCAATTAAAAAAGTAAAAATGGAGGTAATAATGAATTGAACATTTCTTTCCCTCAAAACTAATAATATCGTTTCTTGAGAAATATTCGTTGGCTATATTGAAATTTGCATGATTGAAAATTTGGTTATTTGTTCGTTGAATATCATAGCTCGTGCCAGAACAAAAAGCACTGTTCGATGATATTTTATGTCTTACCACGAACTTTCAATACACTGCCTGTCGGTATTACAATCACAGTTCTTTAGTTAGGGGAAACATATAATATGTGCATTGCACAGCGGTTTAATAATTAAAAGCAAAAGGAAACGGTTTAACGCAACAAGTCCATACATAACACGACTAACACGAGATACATGTCATTGCTAAGAGTGATGATTCTACAGGCCTCTCCCATACCTTACATTAGGTAAAGCAAAGTAAGCGATCGATTTAAATGATGCAATATGATCGATCACTTGGCATGTTCCATGTGCACGCTGAGAAGACGAATCACTGTACGTCCAGGGGGGCCGCAGACGGGCGTCAACACTGTTGGGTACCCGAGTTGCTAGATCTTTGACGAGTAGGTGGACAGTACGAAGCTAGGACAGTGTGGGATATAGGGTGACAGATGAGGGTTAGGGGTATTGAGGAACATGGTACATGTAGTCGTTTCTTGGTGATATAAGACATGCATATTACTTAGCACAATACTGATTTAATATGTACCAGAAAGAGAAAATAGTGTTTTTTTTTGTACTTATAAAATATGTATAGTAACCTTTCGATCACCGCACGTCTACTATGACTAACAGCTATCACTGAAGTAACAAGCCCATTATGCTGGACAGGTTATCAGTAAATTACTACTTAATATTGAGGAGAGCGACTGAAGCAGAAGAGTCTGTAGTGTCCTTAATTTTCATCTCGGGAGGGAATATACGATCGACATGGTAAATAAATTGTTGTTTTTCCTTCTAAAGACAGCACATCGTTGGCATCTCTGATTGTAAAATTGAAAGACTTCTTGCTATGCCATATATGGAAACAAAATCAACATATAACTTGATTATCAATAGTTAAGACAAGGCGAAACTTAGATACTTCAAACTGTATGAGATGCATAAGAAACTCAGAAACTAAAAACAAAAAAAGTTTCAAATACTCAATACAGGATCATATTTTATTGTATATGGTATATACTGTACGAGTCTTTTGCGGATCTGCCGCAATCACTTAATGTCGCTTCCTCAGCGTGCTTCGCCTACGTTATTTGTAAAGTTATGTTCGCTTAAGGTCCCTATGTTTTTTTATATATACAGTGACCTCCTCTTAGCTTCCGTTTGGATATATTTCCGATAACAAGGTAGCTCCATTTGTTAGAGTGATACAAGTAGTAAAACAATCTGAAGTCAGGGGTTCGAATCCCGACCCGTCCTCGATATCGAGGGGTTACGCTTTCTGTCATAGCAAAATCGAAGTTTCAGTGTGCACCACCTTGTGGAAGAGACGAGAAGACTAGTTTGATCCTTTGATATACATCAACATAATCTTGCGGTCGCGTAACGGTAAACTTACCGGCTTTGAAGTCGGGCGTCGCTCCTCTGTTATCTTCAAAAGGAAAGTATCAGCCTAGTGATTGGTCAGTTTCTTTTTACCTGACACCAATCAAATAGCTGGCCGTGTGCCTTAAATTTTGCTATGACATTATTCCAGGGGTGCAGAGAGCGAAAGTGTGCGTAACCCCTGGATATCGAGGATGATCTAGATCTAGCCCTGCTGATGTTTACATCCAAGACACTCACTCTTACTGATTACGTTTCGTTTAATTCAGCTTTATTATTTTTCATAAAAGTTCCGTAAGTTATGGTCTTCTTTTCATATTTCAGGTGATTTATTAAAATTATAGTATGCCGTATAAAACAGTTAGAGAGAGTTTTAACAGTAGTACGGGGATCTTGAATGATTTAATTTCCGATCGATACATAACACAAACTTACGCAAAAGTATTTATCTAACGAAATGGAAGTAATTTTATAAAAAGCCAGAATACACATACAATTCATGTGTAATGTAACCAATATATGTGTGAATTACGTTCATCCTTTAGGGTCAACTGAGGTCACCAGGATATCTCTTGAAATAAATATCTGACACTACATATAACTAATGTGTATAAATAGAGTTAGGCAAATCGGAGACAGGATCAAGGTCAGCGTCCGATAAAAAAATATTTACGTGTCTTACTATAGATTTTGCTTGCATCCCATAATCACAACATCATGATTTGTTGCTGCTTATAGGATATAAAGGATATACAGAAAATTTTACATTTCCGTGTATACTATAGTTCATAATGTACACATGCACGTCGCGGTCATATTAAACTCGCAAATAATGCACATTCGTTTTTATGTCGTCTTGGTTTAACTCACCCTGAAATACATTAACCAAATGTACAGATACATGTGAAAACCACTATACAACAAGCACACTATCCTTTTCAGTGAATAAACAGGTTTCAAATAATATCTAACATTTAAAACTAAATATACGAAGACGAGGCTTACTGAATTGTCTGGTGTATTAGTTCTAGTAAGGGCAAGCGCAAACGAAAACAATATTCTAAGTAATAGTCACTGAAATACAGAGAAGAACATCACGAACCGTTGTATGGTAAGTCGTGATTTACTGCAAAAAGCTCCTACCTCGCGAGATTTTCATTTCCGCACTACAAGATGTATCTTTGTGCATATGTGCATAGAACATCGACCCGAATTCAAATACATGTGTATACAGCGTTCTGTTTCTTGGATAAATGACAACAATGGGTTGTTATCTGTTAGTATTTTCTTAATGAATTCATTGCACTTACCAATAAAATATTTTGAAGCATAATTACGAAAATAATTTCAAACAAAAGTTATGTGTTTGACGGTACTGTTACCGGAATATTCTGCCCATCATTCTGTTTCAAAACGAAACTCATGAAATACCATCTTGGCGTAGGAAAACTAACTGATCAGTTATCATACGA